CCATGGAAACTAGTTCAGAAACCAGTTTGTATTCATTGAAAGATCAAGGTTTCTTTTGAATAATATTCTATTCCTCCTTTTTTAGAATTCCAAGCCATACTATGCCAGCTGCACCGATGCCTTGCAAGGTTGAGCAGCACCACCATAAAATCTGGTCCCTCAGACCCCAAAGTGCAACAGTTTGGTTCTGGAAGTAAAACTCCCAGGCATTTTCTCCATAGGGGAATTGATATTGAATGATAAGGCAGACTTACTCTCAGCAATAAAAACATCACCTGCTGCTGTCTGATAACCACTGCTACAAATGCATTACTGGATTGTTTTGATTAGCTACATCATGAGAACAGCATATGCTTTTGATCAGGCATTAGAAACGGCTACCCCTTTGGAGTCCAAGCAAAACTGGTTTCTGGGAGGACTGTATCTTGCACAACACCGGCAACATCACATCAGAGCAGTTTTAATCCATTGCTTTTAGATAAGGGCTGTGTGGCAGTAACCCGGCACAGAGGTTATCACACACTGTCAGATTCACTCAGACTGAGTTCTGTCTTACATTTCAGTTTAAACCATGAGGATGACCTCGAGTTGAGATATTATTCGATTGTTATTTGTTCTTGGTTATAGAGGTTTGTGCACATTGGAGAACTATTAGTTCATTAGCAGATGCAAACTAGAGCACTTTCTAACAGCCGAATTTAGAGTTTCCACAGTGTGAATCTGAAAGCCAGGCTGCCTCGCTCAGCGTGCTTTGCTGGTAGCATATTGTAATTTAGATATCAGCTTATTGGGCTGGTGGTTTAATTTGTATTCATGTTCCCCTGTGAAGATGGTTCAGTCAGTTCCAAGACTGTAAGCTACACTAGGAGAGTTTTGATTACTGCGGGAGAAATACTAAAATATGTCATGTTGCTTTGGTTATTTAATTGTGCTTGCTTGATTCTGCCACTTGCGTTCTCTTTAAACCTATACATATTGCATATCGACCAGGCCAATCAGTCGCCATTTGGCCTTTTTTAAATTTGTCTGACAACTTTTGTCTGTTTAGAAAAGTTTTAAAGGGATAGTTCACCCAAAAATAAATTTCTGTCATCATTTACTCACCTTCAAGTTGTGTCAACCCTGTATGAATTTCTTTCTTCTGCTGAACACAAATATATTTAGATATTTTGAAGTTAACCAAACAGTTGAAGACCATTTACTTCCATAGTATGAAAAAACAAAATACTATGGAAGTCAATGGGGCCCATCAACCTGTTTGGTTAACGACATTTTTTAAAATATGTTCTTTTGTGTTCAGCAGAAGAAAGAAAATCATATTTGTCATTTTTGGGTGAACTTTCCCTTTAAGCCGCCTTTCCACTATCTCTGACAAATGACAGATCAGAAGTCATTTATTTCCAATGAAGAGTGGTCATTTGCATATGCTGAATTTGCGGATCTGATTTGAGTTTTGGATGCGTTGAAATATTTTTGCGGCAGATGCGTCAGTGATTAGTGAAAAACAAAGTGAGAATTACCAATATTTTTGCAATTACCAGTTCTTTTTTTTTTTTTTTTTTTTTAAGAATAGCAGGGTCCACACCACAACTATAAAGATAACAACAAAACAAAGAAGCGATACTGTTGAATCACTTAACACATTTTTTCCAGCCGATGGACGATAAAAACAATGACAGCCAATCAGAATCCATCCTTGAGCTTGAGCATTTAAATCGACAGACAACAAAATTGCCGTGTGCTTATCATTAACCAACTCGATCTAGTTATATCTTTATGGTTATCGGTCTTGCCATGAACAGGCCTTTACCCCAGAAAACCTACTATGTTTTTCTTTCAGACATATTGGTGGTCAATAGTTTGTATTGATATATTCATACATTCATTATTAATTCATTTTATCATGGTGAATAAGCAGAGGGTAACTGCTGCTTTTAAAAATCGAAATTAAAAAAATAAAATTCCTAGTATACTTTGGGCTCAAGTGGTCAAGGTTTTGCTAGTTAGCATCGAGAAAGACTACTATTTTATTAAAATCCATACGTTTTTTTTCTTAATAAATAGTATTATTCTCAGATATATACATGGACTAAAATCATAAAACAGAAATTTTGATTCCATGGGGTCATTAATACAAATACTTTCCCTTGAGAGGTAAACCGATTTATCAAGCTGACCGAAGAAATTAGGTGCCAGCCCTTTAATTACTGAAAAGTCACTACTGGAGTTGAATATACAATACAGTGTGGGTTAGAGGCAGACATCATGTGTACAGATGTGCGTGTGGTGTAGCATACAGCGAACACACACTGCTCTGCTCAGCCTCCACATTACTGGGCCTGTAATTAGTCTCCTTTACACTGTGTTGACTTGACTGTTATGTCTAGTACTCTGTTTGTCTCTGTTCCTAACTTCCTACAAACATTATTGACCTACAGTAAGAATACTGCAGGCGAATGAAGAGATAGCACTCGATTAAGAAGTGATTACACGAGATACTGAAAAACTGTAGTTTGACTTTTGAATAGAATTGGAACGGTACAGCCAAAAACATGAACATGTAGGCTATTCAGTATTCACCCCTAGGCTAGGTCATTTTAAACTGATGTGACTTCTGTGTAACACAAAAGGAGATTTAAAAAAATAATATACTGGTTGCTTTTTTTACGTTCTTTTTCCATGAAGTTACAATAAATGGGGACTGAAGCCTTCATGCTTCAAAAAGGACACAAAGGCACCATACAAATTATCCACATGACTTGAAATCTATTCCAAGCAGTAATTTTACCCACATACCTACAGAGGACTGCTATTATAGTATTAATATTTCAAATCAGCTTTTATTTCATATTTTCAGTTTTCTTTTTTTCTTTTAGTTTAAGTTTTAGCCATTTCATGTGCTTTTTCTCATTTTAATATAGCTTTAATTTGTTTTATTTCAGTTTTTGTAATTTTAGTACAACTCAAACATATTTATTTAAATTATTTGCAGAGGGTACATTTCTAATTTTAGTTGTTTTTTATTTTATTTTATTTATTTTATTTATATTTTATTTCATTTCAGCTGTATTTTAACCACCGAAAATGAATTTTAGTAGTTTATTAGCTTTAATTAGCATAATAACACTGATTCCAACTCAATTTAGTTATCTTGTTCAAAGCATTAGATCATCTATTAAAGGTGCAGTAAGCTATTTCTGAGAAACACTTTATATTTGAAATCACCTAAACTAACACGCCCATATACCTAAAAGGATCACACCCCTATCTTGATAGCTCCGCCCCTAAATTCACAAACACAAACAGACACCTTCCCTCTAATGAGTGTATACGCCCCTTACTTCTGATTGGCTACTGGTGTGTTTTGGTGCTTTGGTCAGATCAACTTTCAGCAGCATTTCTCAGAAATTGCTCACTGCACCTTTAATAAATCCTTAAAATCTTGTAAATGTTTAAAACAATAAGAAGAAAAGAACATATTTCAATTCTGCTCTTTTTTTTTTCACTGTGCCTTTTTGTCCCTGATTTTTTCACTACTGATCATGACATAAGTCTTAATTTGCTGATGATTAATTGTTGCACTAGTGAAACATACTGGAAACAATAATACTAATGTGATGTACACCAGATCCATGAATTATAAAAAGGCTGCACTGCAGACTACAGTCTGTCTGACATGATAATTGAATAGAGCCTGATCTTTATCATTGTTATTTACTTAAAAGATCATTTGAGATTACACAATTACATAAATGGCAGCGAGATCACATTTACGCACATTCATTTTCCTGCTTTATGAAATGCCGCTTTTAATTTTCGTGGATAATTAAAGCTTCTTTCTTGAGCGCAGGAACTATTGCATGTTCCCTTTGTCCTGTGACGTGAGTTGTTTGCAACCTATATTGATGAAATACTCAAGATGTCATTATCTCAAAATATGATTTTGTTGGCGTATGAATATGAAAAGTCCAACTGTGTGAGAATCTGCAAAGAGTGTGAGAGAAGCTTAGAATAGCTGAGGTGATGGTGTCGACAGAGGCGCAAGCCAGTGTTTATGTGTACAGAGACATTTCCTACACAGAGATAACAGTTGTCGTGCTTTCATTGGCTGTACGCACACTCCAGGGATTTGCAGAATTCTGGAGGAGATAAACAAGTATGAGAAAGGGACAAATGAGAGGGAGAAGGTGGTATCAGATTCCCCTTTCCCATTTGCCAAGGTGTGACCGCTTTAAATTTAGATGGCCTGTAGTCCTTTAAAGAGGACCTGTTATGCATTTTTACATTTGCAACTTTCTTTAGTGTGTAATGTTTGCTGTTTGGGCATTAAGAAGATCTGCAAAGTTACAAAGCACAAAGTCAACTCCAAAGGGAGTTATTCTATATATCAGTGCGCACTGTTTCTGTACTTCCTAAAAACGCCTCGATTGTAGTCTTGAGTTTTCTTCCGGGAACGTACACGTCACAAGGGATACCTCATTTAAATAATTATCACCCAAGACATACGCAGAAAAAGGGGGTGAGGCCTGCTTGAGTTGGGTTAGTAGTTGTTGAAACCCACAGTTATGGTAAGGGGCGTGACATTTCCGAAACACACATTCGAAGTGATTGACCAATCACAGCACACTGATCCAGCTGACCAATCAGAGCACATTGCGCTTTTCGGAATGAGGGGCTTCATGCGTAACTAACAGACTGGAAAGAGAGGTGCTGCAATAATGTAAAATATGTGATAAATTAGTTTTTTGAATATCAAGCATGAAAACCTATTCTAGTAGACCCCAAAAACCAAATCAAGACTGTAAATGAGCATAATATGAATATAGGAAACGCTGTTGGTAGGGGTGCATAAAGTCATACATACGCCACACTAAACCGCCATATATTTAGAGTTACACACTCAATACTCCTTAATACATTGATCAAAGTGACAAGCTATTTCTCTAATAGTAACTCTCACACATTTCTTTCTCCTTTCCATTCATTTCCTCCTCACCCAGAGAGGTGTCCCAGATCGATCAGTTCCTGCAGGAAACAGCTGCGCGTGAAGCCAATGCTAAACTGCGTCTTCAGCAGTTCATCGAGGAGCTGCTGGACCGGGCCGACCGTGCTGAGAAACAGCTCCAGATTATCAGCAGCTGTGCCACCACCCCCAACGGCAGCCTGGGACACTGCAGTCTGCAAGGATCCAAACATAATGGACGACAGGTACGGTAACTAGAGAAAGAGACTAAAGAAAACTCGGCATTGGAACGATCAGAGATTCAGAGATTGCATCTGTATTTGTAGTCATTTAAGCATATTTTGATGTGACTGGGCTTTTTATCAATGGAAAATCCATCATTTTGAATCACTAGCTGTTTCGATATCTACATAGAATAACCATTCAATTTGATCCTAAAAAGCTGTTAAAAACTCAAATCAATATATTGATTGCAAAGTGTGAATTTCGTGGTCATGGATGTCAGTGTGATGCAACTATAGGAACTAGGCCTACATTTGAAAAGGTAGAAATTATTTTCTCTGCTCTTAAACATAGTAAGCTGCCTATGGAGGCACCATTTTAAGACAGCATAGGTGAAAAAAGGAAAGACAACTATCTTTATAAGTATATGTGCCCAAGGTGCAATCCTGGAGAGTAATTATAAAAGTCATTGGGTTTTCACATTTACCTTCACATTTGACGACGAATTACATGTGAATTAAAAATTAATAATTATTGTACAAATACAAAGCTTAAATAAGTATGAAATTGGCTTGAAATTTAGAAGTCAGTCTCATATTTTTATAAAGTACTTTAATTTATGAAGTACTTTTAAGGCACTTTTAAGTTGATCGAAAGTAACAGTAAAGACTTTTCATCAAGGAACACTGGGAAAATATGTATCATGGTTTCCACAAAATTATTAAACAGAACAACTGTTTTTCAACATTGATGATAATAATAAGAAATGTTTCTTGAGCACCAAATCAGCATATTCAAATGATTTCTGAAGGATCATGTGACTAAAGGCTGGAGTAATTCAGCTTCAGCCATCGCTGGAATAAATTCAATTTTTGGAATATATTAAAATAGAAAAGTGTCATTTAAATTGTAATAATATTTCACAATAGAACAGATTTTACTGAATTTTTTTATCAAATGGTAAATGGTAAATGGACTGCATTTATATAGCGCTTTCACAGACCCAATGGCCACCAAAGCGCTTTACAATTTGCCTCACATTCACCCATTCACTCACTCATTCATACACCGACGGGCGACGGCAGCCATGCAAATAAATTCAGCCTTGGTGTGATAAAAGAGGCTAATTTCAAAAACATTAAAAAGTACCGACACCAAACTTTTGAATGGTGCTGTATATGTGTAGAAAGATTTGCAAGAGTCAAAGAGATAGTTATGTAATCAGCCAAATATATTATCCTATTATTAGCATTATCATAACAAGTACATACACTCAAAAAAACGTTAAGGCTTTTTGTTAGATTAAGGCTTTTATACTTTTTCTTGTGGCCACAGTGACATTTACCACCACATCCAGAAAAAAAAACTGTCACTTAGAGCCAGGGCATGGTGAGGAAATAATTTTTTGGAGAATCATTTAGAGAATTATGCATGGTCTTTTTTAACAGTTTGAGGGTAGGCGGTTGAAATTGCCAAAGTGCTTTGTCATGGTTGCAGTTCTGTCTGCCATTTTCTGTGAGAAAAAATAAATCTTAATGCAACACTCAGGAAATGTCTCTTTCTAAATACTCATCAATGCTTACCTTTGGTTTGTGAAGCTCCAGAGAACCTTTTACAGTGTTGAAAAATTGTATATATGTCAGTATTGTGCAAAATTCAGTGTGTATGTGTGCACGCCACAGTTACTCACACTGCCATTTTTGGGCTTCTTATTGACTGTGGATGGCACATTCAGGCAACACCCTAACACCTCACCCTGCTCTGACATCATTGGGGACCCCTTCGTCACCATGGAAACAGCAATCTACATTTGTCATTCACTCATATTGTATTGCATACAGTACTGTTGTTGACTCAGCTTGAGTTCACACACAGCCTGTGTTCCCAAATGCCAGCCACAGCCTTCCAGTCTCCTACTATCTGGAGAGGAAGTACTCTCAGTGATGTCAGAAGAAGGGAACAGTGTTTCAGGAGCATGCATGCTGTGATTCAGGACATTTGGCCTAAATTAGAGCATAGACATGCACTGTGCAAGGTTATGACAACAGGAAAGACCGAGGGAAAGCAAGCAAGAAGGAAAAAGATGCAGATTTCTTGTTCACGTCTCAAGCATTTCCCACAATCCCGGCCAGCCTTTTTTGCTGTGCATTGCTCGTGAAATCAATAGTGCTGCTTTTCCTTTCTGCCCCATTTCTGCGGGCACTGCGCCCAGTGTGTGTTTGTGAATGTTTGTGTGGCCTGTCAGCACTATGGCACCTTGCTTGGCCCATATTTCCTCTGGTGTATCACCTAACCAGCTAGAGCAGTTATTTAAAGGCACAGTTTTCCTATTTCCTGCATGAGATTGGTGAGTCTAATACCTACGTCTGAGGAATAAAAGTCATTAGTAGTTGATCGATATGGTTTTTTAGAGCAGGACGCTTTTTTTCTAAAACACCTGAAGTACTATTTTCCGAATTTAACAGGGAAATCAATGTAGGCCAGGCTGTTTTCACCATAAAACCATAAAAACAAGAAAAAAAGAGCATATTTCACGGCTTTTTTAGATCCTACAATTGTGAATAAGCCCTTAAATGTAATTGTTATTAAAATGTTGGTAACACTTTACAGCAACGTCCATTAGTTAACATTAATGAACTACCTTAGTTAACATGAACTAGGAATGAACAATACTTCAGCATTTATTAATCTTAGTTAATATTAATTTCAACATTTACTTATATGTTATTAAAATTGGTTGTATTTGTTAACATTAGTTAATGCACTGTGAACTAACATGAACAAACAATGAACAGCTGTATTTTTATTAACTAACATTAACAAAGATGAATAAATACTGTAACAAATGTTTTGGTTGTGTTAGTTAATGCATTAACTAATGTTAACTAATGAACCTTTTTGTAAAGTGTTACCAAAATGTTTAATTTACATAGAATGGCTGAAATTAAATAAACACGATTTTAGATTATATTTTCTCTAAAAATTAGAAAGCAAGAAATGTGCATTACCCTTTGACAAGGCTTTCAGTGGGTTTGTTAAACTGACACAATCGATCAGGTGAGTATGATTGTCAGGAAACGGTTTGGTGTAATTTCACCAATTATTTGGCCTGGTTGAGTCTTTCAGCAAGGCACAAAACCGCAGGTTGCACCAGGGGGATTGCCCATGTAATTAGTGTACGGCAAGCCAATTTGCATAAAAGTAGCTAAATGACAAATTAGTAATTAGCAAAATGAGTAATCAGTGATGCAAAGCAACCTGCTGTTATTTTGTACTCAGAGAGTTTTGAAACATATTATTAGTGTTGACCCAGACTAAACCTAGTCCTCATAAAGCATGAATAGTGACGCTAAAGCATGTTAGTGGTAATCTCGTCGATAAAGTTCTGACGTAAATATGACATGTTTGTCCCATGTACTCTATCTCTCTGAGGCAGCTCTTAGTTTTTCTACCCTATACCTCTCTATCTACTTTGATTCTATTTATATTTATCTGCTGATGTTGAGCTGCAGTATCTCAGATGTGTTCAGGGACATTTTGGAGCATCTTTCTCTCTCATACACACACTCTCAATTGATTTCTCACTCTTTCTCTCATAGAGAAATTCCAGTATCTCTGGGCCATCCAGGGGAATGTACCAAGTGTCCGATCGACGTTCCTCCCCCAGCACTGCGTAAGTCTCGGGACAGCAGAATTCTGCCTGCATGACTTCACAAATATATGAATGTTTTCTCATCAGCCACATTTTCTTACAGTTATTATGCATTTTTATACTTGTTTATTAATTTGTTCATAATTTAATAATATCACTAACTTTAAAAAATTGAAAATAAATAATATAATTAAATCATTTTTGTGTATTTATTAATTAATCTGCATATTATGCAATTCATTTAATTTTAAATATTATGCAAACACTAGTCATTTGATTTTTTTTTTTTGGTCAGGTTCTATCTAGTCCTAGAGAACAATGGAATACTTCACAATAGTGTCAATGTAGTTGTGTTTTATCCCTGAATTAATCGGTTGAATGACTGATTCAGTGACTCATAAAGACAGTCACTTGTTGCCAAAATGTCTGTTCTATTTACCTTATTTTTAACGTAAAGGGCAGTTTGTAACTTGAACTTGTAGAGGCTTCCGATCTCATCCACTTCTAGTTATTTTAGCTGTAATGTAAAATGGTCCATTATGCTGCTTTTCATTCTTTTCTTGTATTGCCATATATTGTGTTGTATTCATATCTTGTATTCAAATCTCTATTTTTGGCTTCAAATTGGAGATATTTACCTATAGCGACTGATGAAACATTCACAGAAAATAGCTTACTTCTGCGTTGCAAAATATGGTGCTAAGCTCGATGGAAGTGTAGTTTTGCTTCAAACTTTGAAGTATTAGATCTAAGATTTGGCACCAGCCATTTTGCAGATATATCTTAAATTCGGCAGAGCAGCAAGTTTATGTCTTTTATCTGCTGTGAGCCCATGGGTATGTTGGAGTCAGCCTGGTTTGGGATGTGTCTAGGGAAAATCACTAGATTGTTGCATTTGCCTCAGGGTTAAACCAGTCTGTAATCTCTCAGCCATGCAGAAGATATGTGAGAGCTGTGTGTGGAAAACTAAAGTGCCATAAAGGACAAGGCCGAAAACAACCAGTACCCAAGGCTCTAGAAGGATAGCGGTGAAAACATTAGTTTAAACTCTGCTTCCTTGTATAGTCTTGCTTTTTTTGTGTTGTATTGAAAGCATGTAAGTGTCAGGTCAGGTTTTGCCTACAGAGTGGATACCAAATGTCCCCGCAATAGTGAAACCTAAAACTATAAGGGATAGATCACCAAAAAAATTACATGAAATAAAATAAAATAATTCAATTTTCTTTATAAATTAAATCAAGTTTTAATGGAAATTAATGTAATTTTTTTTTGTGTGTCAGGGTTCATTTTTAGGCATATGAACTTCTCAAGAAACACGGAGAGAACAACCACTAAAATAGACAATAACGGACAAAGAACAACTGAAACTGAGGACTATACACAGAAACACTAGGGACTAAACAAGATAATTAACAAGACACAGGTGAGACACATGAGGGCAAATCAAAAACCATGGCAACAGAAGAGCATGAACAAAGAAAACACTGGAAACTGAACTGAGAACATTGCTCAAAGTCCAAACTAGAGGTGCGATAATTCTGAACCGTAACAAGCCTTCACATGCTTGTAGAACTTGTAGTTACAACGTGTAAACTAAAACATTTTCTGAGAGCTAAGGCTTGTATCACCTGACCACTGCAGATTTAAGGTGCGTTCGACTTGAAGCGGCGCTGTGCAGATCGATCAGTGTATGACATCAAAGTACCGCAAAAGCATTTTGAAAGCATACAGAACTTTATTTATGGTAATTAGGACATGGCGTTAACGCAGCATAGAACACATGACAATATATATTGATTTCAGTTTTATAAAAAAAACTGTTGTTTAATAAGACTAACATTTTGTGAACCATTTTTTAAAAGATTTTAATCTAGTGAGATTGTCTCAACTAGTCAATAAGCACATAACTAATATGCATCACAAACATATTACTCTTGTTTTTATTTTTAGGTCGTCGTCCATTTATGTGATTCCCTGTAAAATACCATAACTTTGTGCGGCTGTTCGTTTAACTAGTTTCTGATCTGTGAGTGAGACAGTAACGTCCATCTGTTATGTGCGTGCGTTTGAATCATTTGGTGGTCTGAGGGAAGGAAGGAGCGTGGGTTTGCCCGGAGTCTGCTGTCCCTAAATTGACATCACAGACTCCACAGGTCTTCCTACTGAATCAGACGGGAGCGGATTGAAATGATCACTGCTGTTCCTTCATTATGGCATAACCACCATCATCCATCTGAGTCACTTATAAAGACATTAAATAAACAAGTGGCATATAAACTAAAAAGTGTGGGAACTGTAAGAAATGAATAGTGACAGTAAAGACTTTTATATTATTACAAAAGATTTGTATTTCAAATAAATGATGTTATTTTTGTTTCCACAAAAATATTTCAGCACAGCTGTTTTCAACATTGATAATAAGAATAACTTTTTCTTGAGAACCAAATCAGCACATTAGACTGATCTCTAATTTGGATGCTGAAAATTCAGCTATGCATCACAGGAATAAAATACATTTGAAAATATATTCAAATAGAAAACAGCTGTATTTTTGATCAAATAAATCCAGTCTTTATGAGAATAAGAGACTTCTTTCAAAACCTTAAAAAAACAAACAAACTTTTGAACAGTTGTGTATATACTCCTCATTAATATTCTGTCATTATAACTAGGGTTCTTATTATTGTTTAACAATAATTGTAATGTAATAATATGCTAATTCATAAAGAGAAAATCTGACATAAAGATAATTCAAATACATTACATTTTTGTGGCAGATGAGTAAAGCACTATAGACATTAAAAAATGTGTTTTTAAAAGCAATATATAAATTGTTTGTTTACATATTACATATTTGTCATCATTTACTCACCCTCAACTTGTTCCAAACATGTATGAGTTTCTTTGTTCTGATAAACACAAAGGAATATATTTTGAATACCGGTAATGTCGGTAACCAGACAGTTGACGGCACCCATCTGGTTACCGACATTACCGGTATTCAAAATATATTCCTTTGTGTTTATCAGAACAAAGAAACTCATACAGGTTTGGAACAAGTTGAGGGTGAGTAAGTAATGGGTCAACTATTCCTTTAAGCCTATCCCTGGCCCTACGGTCCTCAGCAGTCCATTTTGCAAATAGAGTTTGTAAATCTGCTTAAGGTTGACTTCAGAGGCAGACGTCTTTAGCCATCGCATCCCTCTGTTTTTTCAGCATCTCTATTTTTGGCTTCAAATAAAAGGCACAAAAATGCATTTGAAGTAAGGGGTGCTGAAACATTACGAAACCAATAATACAATACAGAGACTGCACTATGCCTTAAAGTTCTTCTGAATTAAATTTTTTTTATGTCAGAAACTTTACATATACATTCTTTTTAGCCTTTGCTTTTGAACAAATGAATGGCTTTTGATATCTCTGCCATAGCCAGCCATGCATTACACATTTCTACTGTGTAAGCAGTTTTAATGTGTCCCAGCTTGATTTCTAGTGGGTTGTTTGCTCTTCAGCCCACTGTAAAATAGAAAAGTAAGCCTGTCATTGTAGTCAGTTGCCTACAGCGGAGCCTACAGTCACTATTGGCTGCAGTAGCACAGCATCTCTTTAAGTCTCAGTGTTGGCTTTTGAATTGTAACATCTGGAGAGTGACTAAATGTCTGGCTGGAATCCCCAGTGGAAATTCTGTCCCTGTTAAGCCTTGGAGGAGAACATTCCTTATCCTTACCCACAATCCCATGCATATGCCCTAACTGTTCCCTGAGTGATTTCTCTTGTAATGATTAAGGAGAGTTCTTGTGCAGTGGATGTGTTCAGAAGTGTCATACTCAATTAAACTGAAATGAAGTTGTATATGTCTTGAAGGTAAAAAGGAATCAGGAATAATGCATTGACATTGGCATTGACTAAATTTAGTCGGCCAATTGAGTCACAGCTTCTTCAGATAATTTGCGCTCAACTATCAAACTTAAAATGTCAAAGCGGCTCTTTTCTATACAATATAAAGGTATGCTAATTAGCTCTTATAAGAGCTACTGGTAGGTGAGTTAAAATGTTTGTTTTTTCTTTTGGTGATGTGTGCACCAGGATTGATACTGGTGGCTAATCAAAAAAAGAAAAGAAAAGAAAAAGTGCATGACACCCCTAAAAGTGTTGATTTAGTGTTGTGTACCCACCACTTGGTGTTGAACAGAATCCTCTGAGGAGTGTTTTGATAGAAAACAACCGAGAGTCACTATTGTATGTGCAATTAAGGAAATAACCCATTACTCATTCAGGCTTAAAAATAATAGAGTTCGCAGAGTCTCTCATTTCTAAATTAGTGGGTGTGTGTATTATAGGAAGTCTGTCTAGACAGATCTGATCATATTTCCTGGTTAACTCTCACTGTTCTTTTTTACACACTCTGAACACAAACCCTGTATCCTAAAGCAATGGTTTTCAACTGGTGGATCTCGATTCTCGACCCATACAATGGGTGCAAAGCGTGCAATAAACCAATCAGAGTCTCATCTCCCATTCCCTTTAAAAGCCAGAAACTAGCAAAATGTATCATAGGGCCTATGTATTATAACAAATGCCTGCAAATAGCGCTAGAAATGCTACAGCCACAAACATGTGGACATCAAAACATGCAAACTTTTATTTTGGAATGTTTCTATGTGTGGTCACCACTTCCACTTCCGTAATTCCTTTCATGAATTCCTGCAAATTAACCACAACCAGGGCCGGCGCTCCGCACACGCACATCACGCGCTGCGCGTAGGGCACCAAGTGCTTGGGGGGGCACCAAAAAATCTGGGTCGTGAAAAATCATCACAATAGGCTACTAGTATAAATAACAAATAAAATATGTCTAAACCATGTTAATATACAAAAGCAATACAAAAGTAATATAGGCCTAGACCAAATTAGTCGAGAAAAAGGTGAATCTCCTTTTTCGTCTCCCTCTGGTGCCCCCCCTTCCCCACCTCCCAGTGGTCTGTTCGATTATGCCTCAATCAATGTCAAATTTGGCAGACACCGATCTCAGACATGGCCTCGGAAAGGCACCAAGAGTCGGGGGCGAAAAAAGGAAAAAGAATAGACAGCGGGATGATACTCGCGCGTCGCTTTGCAGGTAAGACAATTTTTTAAATAAAAATGTTAGTTTTGTAGCGCGGGCGCCCTTGCGTCGTGTATGCATGTCCAGGGGGCGTCGCTAGTAGTGCAAATGAAATGATCCGGGGCTTTTTTAGCCCTGCATGTTGAATCTTTTATTTTAACGGGGGTCCGGGGCTTTCTCCCCCGGATAATTTTGAAACTTGGGCTGTTTAAGATGCAGTTAGTTTGTTTGAGAAGAAAAGGAAGACCGCTTAGATACGTTTTTTCGTTGTTGTTTTATGCGGATAATGCGTTCATTTTCAAGAGGTTCATAGGCCAAGGCCCAAGGGCGACATCTGTTGGTGAAACTGCAATTAGAAAAAACAAAACAAAAAAACCCCACAATCTCAGTGTTTGTATATTTTCATATTCACAGAGTTGTCAAATTATTAGGGCTGGGAAAAGATTAATCGCATCCAAAAATAAAAGTTTGTGTCTACATGATATATGTGTGTACTGTGTATAATTATTTTGTATATAAATACACACACAGGGCACCCAAAGGTGCTTAGGGCACCCAAATGGCTAGCGCCGGCCCTGACCACAACATTGTGCCTGACTGTTTTGCTCCATGCTTCCCTTTTGTGGTTTTGTTAAACAGTGCATCAGGACGAGGAAAGTCTGTGTCCCAGGGTTCAGGAGGTTACGACAGTGACAGTGTGGACCTCCATGCTCTGGAGGACTGCCCTGATGCTCAATACTACCACGTCCAGTGCCGACTTGGGGAGGGAGGCGGAGGAGGAGCATACGAAAGGACAGGTGCTTCCCGGAGCTGGGGTCTCCGCAAACAGGCCATCCAGAACTGGCAGCGTCGGCCATACCGGAACAGCACGGAGGGAGAGGAGGGCGACGTGTCTGACGTAGGATCCCGCACCACAGAGTCTGAGGCCGAAATGTGGGAGCAAGACAGGAGAGCAGAGCACGGGGGTAACCGTGGAGGATACAGACTAGCTACAGGTGCGTCATTGACCTGCGTGGGCTGGACGAGCGTATAGAAACTTGTCCTGGGGCTTAATATTTTGTATTTTTTTTAAATGTTGGTGGAAGAGCATGGTTCATTTCTCAGGGAACCCAATTCCAAATGCATAAATGTGAATGTAATTTTCTGCTTGTAATTTATTTAAAACATAATTTGGGGCAGAAACTGGCTAGCTCTGTAGCAAATGCTGCCATGGTTGCAAATGTCCTTTAACAGTATGTGTGTTTGTGAGTTAACAGTTTGTAGAGCGGTTTGTCAGGGCCATGGCCACTCTCCAAATAATGGTCAGGTATAGTCAGGTCAGAGGACCAGGACGCCGGCTGAGAGAAATGAGGTCATATGAACAAACTGCCGTCAGGAACACAGGCCAGAGAGCAGTAGAGAGCATGTGTCATGGAGTAATGAGCACAGTTTTCCACCTACTGACTCCAGGTCATTGTGGGAAGAGCGAAATGAGTAACCAATAGTCTATATATGCTCCCATACATAATCACACCACATTCAGAGTGTGGCTTAAGGCCATGACACATTGATTAAGGCTCATTTATGCTGTTCAGGGGTGCGTTTCCCAAAAGCATCGTTAGCCAACTTTGGTCGCAATTTCCGTTGTTTTCAGCGTAGTTCAAAGAGTCTGTGTTTCCCGAAACCATAGTAGTCCAGTCATTTTATGAAAAAAGGTTGAACAAATTGCAACAGAAGCAAACTCAACTGATTTTGTATCCTCAATATGTCCTGAGTAAGGGAAAAAAAAGCCCAGAAGAATCCCATTTGGGGAAAGTTTAGAAAAAACTGTATAAAAAAAATATATATATATCCCATATATATCTTTTTCTCACGTGAAAAAGGGTAACAATTTTAACCTTTAGATACCATCATGAAAATCACTGAGTTGATTACTTACATCAAGACAAACAAAAAATGTATTACAAGTTTTTTTTAATTGTTTGTTAACATGGACAAACGGTGCATAATATAATTACGTAATTAGCTAATTTGCATAATTACCCAAACAGATCTAAACATTGGGTATAGCAGGTGAAAATGTTTTTTTGAATCTTGTTGACATATAACAGTAAAAGACTTAATGTTAAGGTCTGAGTGGAACCCATTTAGGCTACCCATGAACATTAATGCAGCAATAAGTACTTTAGAAACCAGCCTTTATTAATTATTGTTGCAGAGATGGGGTTTGGGCATTGAGTGCATTTTGTACGTAATTAGATTTTTTGATCCAGACACTTTTTATTTCACCTACCTTTTGTCTTCTGCATTCTCCTTACCCATGTCTCCTGTTCTTCCCTCAGACTCATCCCCCAGAAACAGTCCCACTGACCCAGCCCCAAACCCCATCTCTGCCATAATAATTAATAAAGGCTGGTTTCTGAAGTACTTATTTCTGCATTAATGTTCATGGGTAGCCTAGATGGGTTCCATTCAGACCCTAATATTAAATAGTTTACTGTTATATGTCAACAAAATTCTACAAGACATTTTCACCTGCTATATACCCAATGTTTAGATCTGTTTGGGTATTTATGCAAATTAGCACATATGTAATTAGATTATGCACCATTTGTCCATGTTATCAAACTATTTAAAAATACTTGTAATACATTTTGTGTTTGTCTTGATGTAAGTAATCAAGCCAGTGATTTTCATGATGATATCTAAAGGTTCAAATTTTTAACCTTTTCACGTGAGAAAAAGAATGAATAGGCGTATGAATGGGATATATTTGGGTCTTTTTCTAAACTTTCCCCTAATGGGATTCTTCGGGGCTTTTTTTTTCCTTACTCAGGACATATTGAGGATACAAAATCAGTTGAGTTTGCTTCTGTTGCAATTTGTTCAAGGTTGACCCCCATTTTGGCTTAAAATGACTGGACTATAGTTCCAACGAACATTCGCAAACTACAGCTCTCGAGCTGTGGTTAGAAGCTATGGAAGTAAAATAATCCCAAATGTTTTTGAAACAAAAAGCCTGTTGAATTGTACTACTTGAAAAAAATATGCATTGCATTAACCCTGCTTGTATTTTAATGCATTGTATTTTTAGGGCTTGCATTTTTATAGGCTGAAATTTAGCATGGTTGAATATTTAAGCTGTGAATATTTCAAATCAAATCATTTCAAACACATTTTCATTAGTAAAATTTCAATAATCCATATTCACCTTTCATATTTCATATCCCAAATATTCAAACTGATTAAAAATACAACCTATAATATTCAACAGGCGGTTTTCGGTCCATTTTATTTCGCTTTGCAAATTCGCTTCCACAAATTCAGTGGTTCAAATTCGACAGTAAATTCAACATTGACATCCAGGAGCTGCAGGAAAAGTAGTAGATTACCGAGCATAATCTCCATCTGCTGTTAGTCGACCACACCAGCAGGGGGTGCAAGCGCGTGTTGTTGACGATGACCAGAGCAACAGTTAGTGCAAGCCATTCATTCATAAAAACTTATTTACAAAAATGTAAGTGTATTTGTGATTATTATGACGTCTGTTTTATGTGAAATTCAGTGTGTTCACGATTACTTTTCCTGTGTAGCCTACATGCATCTTTCTCTACCATGAACGATAATGTTATTCCCCCGATGCGGATGTACAGATCCAGTGTTACATTTGACATATTTCTCTTGGTTGTTTAGTTGCCTTAACCTTATATTGCAGCGATGTGCTGCATGCAGTACTAGGGTTTGGTTTCCCTCAATATGTCAGGATTCCCCTGCTGGACATATAAAACGCTTAACGTAGCTTAATGGACATAAAAGACCAAACTCGCAGGCTAGCAGATGGACTCAGAATATGAATTTAACGAGCAAAGTTTAATGCTGAGCGTTTCCCAGTGATATACTGGCATAAATTTGGTTTGACATAGGACATTCGCACATTTAGGGACCGTCTCTAAAGTTACATTCGAAATTGGTATACACGTTTCTAACTTAAATACCATTTGAAAAGAACGACTTACAGTCATAAAACCAACTGTAAAGTGTTCATGTAGGTGTCAGGCTCAGGCATAATGCGCAATTTATTCAAATAGATTGAAGTTTGCTATTGAAGTTAGAAACGTTTAGGCCTATAGGACTTGTTAGTTTAGAGACGGTCCCTAAATGTGCGAATGTCAACCCAATTTTACATTTAGTCTTTTAGCTGGCACTTTTATCCAAAGCGACTAGTTAAACTAACAATATAGAACAACAAAATGAAAGTGCTACTTCCCAGTTTAATCTAATGCAGTACATGTACAATACATACTTTCCAAATAAGGTGCGAGTTTGGTCTTTTATATCACTGTAGTCCATTAAGCTACGTTAAGCGCTTTGTCCTGACGGAATTCGGGGAATCTTTGAGTATGATGATGTATTGAGGGAAACAGATTATAATCCCGTTCACTGTAGAAAAGGCTGATAACATAAGGCTACACAGGGAAAGTAACAATGAATGAAACATAAAAACAGCTTTTGTGCCTTTATCATCTTTTCCGCATATATACTGACCCAGATAATCGTCACAAAAAACATAATGCATGCTGAGTTTTTATGAATGAATGGCTTGCGCTAACTGTTGCTCTGGTCTTCGTCAACAACACGCGCTTGCACCCCCTGCTGGTGTGGTCGACTAACAGCAGATGGAGATTATGCTCGGTAATCTACTGCTTTTCCTGCAGCTCCTGGATGTCAACGTTGAATTTACTGTCGAATTTGAACCACTGAATTTGTGGAAGCGAATTTGCAAAGCGAAATAAAATGGACCGAAAACCGCCTGTTGAATATTATAGGTTGTATTTTTAATCAGTTTGAATATTTGGGAAATGAAATATGAAAGGTGAATATGGATTATTGAAATTTTACTAATGAAAATGTGTTTGAAATGTTTTGATTTGAAATATTCACAGCTTAAATATTCAACCATGCTAAATTTCAGCCTATAAAAATACAAGCCCTAAAAATACAATGCATTAAAATACAAGCAGGGTTAATGCAATGCATATTTTTTTCAAGTAGTACAATTCAACAGGCTTTTTGTTTCAAAAACATTTGGGATTATTTTACTTCCATAAGAAGCATAGTTTCTTGTTTTTATGTGGGCTTAATAAATCCTTATCTTGAGCAAAATAAGCAAGCTGACATTTAGTACAATCTATATCTTTTATTACTATTTGATTCAAATGTAATTTACGTCTCTTAGTTTGTCAAGAGATTTAAAGCACCGTTTTGAGTACGTGCTCTAGTTACGTAAGAATGAGCCTAGCATTGATTCTGGAAATAAGGCAAAATAACTAAGAAAAATGAGAATTAGTCCTCAGATGCCATGTCTGTAATTTATAGCAAAAAAATCTTAACATTATTCAATCTCAAACGGATTAATTAAAAGAGGTTATTACACCACCACCTGCGTGATGTGGTTGAATGACTAATTTGTGACAGGAAAACAGTCGTGACTAGCTAGATGATTTCTTCAAAGATGCATACTATGGTTATTAAGCAGCATGTCGATCGTGTCACCTCTACTTTGTTCAGCTGTGGCAGAAATGTAATTATCAATCTGTAGGGGGCACCAGTAGGCCTGCTCACATCATAATGATCATTTTAAGGGAGTTAATTATAATTATATACAAGTAAGAAGATATTTTATCGTGACTGAAGCCAACATGAAATCCTATATTTGAACCACATCATATGCCATCCATGGCAAAAAATGTCAGCGCCAACCTGAAAAAGTATTTGGAAGTTCTAACTGAGAGTTCAAGGGATGTATTCTGTGAATTTGTTTAAGTACACACTTGTTTTATGTTTAAATAAGGAAATGAATGTAATTAATTAAAAAAATAAATCATTATTTTATATAATTGGTATTATTTTTATATTCTTTTATAAAATATTTTTTACACATTTGGATGTCAGTTCAGTACATATTTTTTATTTAAAAATAGTTATTATTGTGCCATTTGTTTCATTTTTTTATTAA